CAGCATAGGAAGTCCTGTGGGTACCATAGTGAACTGAAGGTTAAAGCACAGTCCATTCTGGTTAGCCCTGAGCCCAGCCAAACTGTAGTGAACCTCGTTGTTCAAGCTCTGTCTCTCCCTCTGACCTCTTTGGTCATACTCCAGGTGAGAGCCCTGACTCCTGCTAGCAGCCAGCTCTTATTCCCCACCCCCACAACGTACCACCTTCCCAGTCCTTTGTTCTCCAGGTGGAGAATGTTGCTCAGTCTTCCTGCAGAGAGGTGGGAAAATCCAAATCCCGCTGGGTTGTTGGTTGGTTGATGTCAATGGGTGGGCAACTGCATTTGCCACCATCTTTTCAAATGTTCCTCTGATATGGGGGCCAAGGCCCAGACAGCTAGGCAACAATCACACCTCTCTCTCTTAGCCTGCCCTGAGAGCAAACAGATGTTTTCCACTTCCACTGCGTAATAGTTCAGCATATAGGAGAAACTGAGGCACAATCTCATAAAAATATTATAAAATATCGCCCCTTCATCCCATTATGTTATTCGGAAATTGTAAGGTGTTCTAACTCATTGTTAAAAACCAAGAATCACCTAGAACCAATTTGGTACATCACAATGTAAGGTGTGTCTATACCACAATCAGACATGTGAGTGCAACACATGTAGACATGCCAGCTAGCTAGCAGTGAAACCATGACAGCATGGGCTAGCCTCTTAAGTACATACCCAGGGTTCTGGGCGAGCTTGAACAGCCCCTGCTGCCACAGCTTTATTGCTGTTGTTATTCAAGCAAGCTAGCTCGGGTATGTCTACATGTGCTGCACTCATGCCGCTGACAGCAATGTAGACACAGATCCATAGACTTGGGACAGCAGACAGAAAACTAGATAGATATGGGCTTTCAATGTAATCAAAGGGGGCATGGATCAGCGTTCATCTCGGACTCCCAGTCAGTACCCAGCCCAAGCCAGGGAAGCTAATGATCCAACCAGCGGACTAAATTCGGTGATGAATCCTGGTCACCTGAAGCATGTTGCGCATACACTAAGAAGAATGCTATCAAATAAGCCCATGAAATCTTGAATTGCATACAAAGGCATCATGTTACACAGTGAGGCAGCAAGTGTTCCTCACTATAGCACTAATGAAACTGCACCAACCAGGCTAGATTTAGTTTCGTTTAATGCTGCCAGAGGTGAGGGAAGGAATTCAGGGAAGAGTAACAAAAATGATTAAGTTGATGGAGGGACTCAGATTTATGAAGGAAGACTGAGAGAGCTAAATATATGCAGTTTGGCTAAGCATTGACTAAGGGGGAAACGGTAACTGCACACAAGGTGTAAACACCAAAGAGGCAGAGGAATGTCTTTAGGTGGTACAAGGTTTACCTGCAAGTAACTGGATGAAGTTCAGCAAAGGATGATGTTTAGAATGAATGTTAAGGACTTCCTAATTGAAATCTCTCTGAGATTGTTCAGTTTCTCCAGACATTTCTAGTGCTCCTCCCCCACCTTCCCAATCACCTGTGTAACTAAGCTTCCCCAAGAAGAAATCCCATACTTGAGTTACCTAGGCCTGAAGCACACACTGCAGAGAGTAACCCTGCACTGGCTGCTCAGGGATGGATGTGATGGTTGAACTGATCTTTTTCTACAATAACAATGGCTTTCCAGCCCACTCTGCAGGAGCATGTCAGTGACTTTGATTGCTCCATCTCAGGGATTCTGAACCTTTTTCATCACACGGACTACACCTTAATAAAGATATTGTTTCATGGACCAATCTCCCCACCAATTTGCAATCGCATAACATCCCTGCAGCAACTACACCAATTGCTTGCCTGAACTGCATTTAATGTATTTTTAGCTTCTTTTAATATTATGTAGCAGACGCTAACACTCCTCCTTGTTTCTACCACATGACCAGCCAGCTCTCCCAAGGCCACAAGTAGATGGTCCACAGATTTCATATACACAGCCAGTGCTCTGCCTTATTTTGGGCCTAACACACAAACCACTGAGTAGGTAGAATGCTATGTTATCCATTCCGTTCCATTGCCATATTCACTCAGCACAGCCCTAAGCTTAGGTCTAACCCAGCTGCAGCACATTGCAGGGATATATATAAGAGGAGATTGGCCACATGTGGATTTGATTACCTGTCCCCCTCTCCATATAACAAATATGGGGACCACTGAGCCCAGTATCAAAGTTCTCAAGGATTCCTAACCTTGGACAGCTGGTAACAATCTGCCAGACCTGAAAAATGCTTTCAATCCCAGTATTTAGGGCCAAATTGAACCTGGGAGTAAGTATATTAAATGCCCATTGAGGTCAGTGGAGCTGCACCCACTTACACCTAAGCTTACTTTGGTTCTTAGATACAGTCTCTTACTATACTTAACAGAATTAATCAGTGTTTTAAGTCTGCCCCAGTTGAATCAAAAGCTTTCCTCTGAGAAATGTCTGCTAGTTCCCTGCACATTTAAAACATCCTTCTCACAAAAATGATCGTGCTTAGAAAAGATAACAATGTACATCAAAGAGTTAACCCCGTAACAGAAGCCACGTGCTAAATATCTATTTTCAATGGAGGGAAAAGCAAGCCCTGAATTCAGGCTCAATCCTGAACATCCACAACTTCCATCGATTTCAAAATGAATTGAGTATGCTCAGTGCTTCATGGGATCAGACCCATGCATTGTAAAAGATTCAGATTTGGGGGGATGAACATGCAAGTTATGTATAGAAAATCCTGTTTGTGTCTACCACTGCTTTCTACTGGACAAAAACTGAGTTGTGTTACTGACCAGAATCAGACCTTCATGGAACAGAAATGGCATTGCCCTCAAGTGGCAGTAGCTTCCAAAAGCTACAAGCCGTAACCACACTACTCAAGCGTGAATGGTACTTATGATCATATTCCAAGAGACTTACCAGCTTCTGTGCTATGATGTTATAGTGACTGAAGGACTGGAGCAGGGCCACAAAACAGACTTTACAGCCAGCTGGGAAATAAGACAAGACACATTATCCCTTCAGTGTTGTAAGCTCCCACTCTCAAGGCATTTGAAATGAAGAAGAGTCAGACAACCAAAAGCCGATCAAAAAGAGCCCAAGGGGAGAAGACTCTCACCCCCCGATGGAGTTGCTGGCTCATATTTAATGTAAGTTTATTTTAAACCTTTAAACCGATGATCTCTCCCCCATTTAAAGAAAACTTTTTTTTTTTTTTTTACTGAACAATTAAAATATCGCTAAAAAAAGCCTATAAATTAGAAAGCCTCTTATGTCTCCCCTCCCTGCTGCCATGGGAGCCCCAAGCATTCTCTACCACTGGAGAGTCTTTAAAATAAGGACTATGGGCCACACCAAGACATGGTCTTGTCTGCTGAATTAACATCTCTTGGAGTGGCAAAAGACCCTTTCATTTGGCTATCATGGGGCACGCACATGGTTTAGTCCTTGTCTTGACAGATTCACAAGCTTGGACATAATGATAAATGAGAAGTTTCAACAAAGAAGTCTCTTTAAGAGACTTCTTAAACATACGGGTTTTGGAAAATAAAGGCCCTGGCTGTCTGAGGAACATAAAACCCAGTATCCATCAGAAACACGGTCTTTGAGATTTGGGGCACATGGAATTAATTCGATGCAATTGCTTCTCCCCATTGGAGACAGTGACTTGGTAAAATGAGTTGAGCTGGGTCATTTTAGCCAACAGTGAATGTTCAATGATGTCAGAAAGCCACCAACCAGTTGGGCAGTTTCTGCTAGACAGTGACATTATACTCAAACAATACGGATGTGCTACCAATCAGGATTGAGGATCACTGGCAGAGTTGCAGTGAAACAGGGGGTGTTGCAAGGCTGGACTGAGGTTCATTAGCAAAGCTTCTCTAGCAGTGGGTGCTATAGGAACACTCAGATAAAGTAGAGGAGCAAGCATGGTAGCTTTGGGTGGGTCTCAGGACTAAGAGGACAGGATTGTAGCACATGGATGGAATACTGTGAGGGATTCCAGGACCGCAAAGGGTGTTTGCTGCTCAGAAATGCAGTGCACTGACAGAGCTGGGCCAGGACACAGAACTAGATTATAAGGGAGTGCTGAGGATCAGAACTGAAGTCCATTAGAAACCCAGGATGGGAAGCCTGCACGGTGCATAGGTCAATATGCAGCTGTATACATCCTTCACTTTCAAAAGCGCTCAATATTTTACATTCAGTTCAAATGAAGGAAAAGTTTGGCAAAATTCTTCCCTCAGGGACACCCATGCAACCTCACTGAGTGCAACAGGATACGCAGGCATAACGGAGGACAGCATTTGATGTACCAGCACCTATGTGCTAAACATCAATGCAGGTTCAGAAGGCTGGTTCCTGAGAGCCACATTATGTCACAATCCAAACCGATTTATCCAGAACTGCAGCTTTGCCATGAGAGGTTTGGAAAAGTCCAGGGCTCCTCACAATAGTATTTAAAACAATTCAACTAGACAGGCCTGCTCTGCTGTAGCAGGTGAATCATTAGCACGAGAGACACTATTACTCAACTTGCCATTTGGGCTGGGTTCTTGTTTGTTCTTTTTTAAACACAGTCATGTACCAGAAAGTTTGCTGACATTTGTTACATAATATTCCTTTTACATTTCAAAATGTGTGGGTAGTGAATAAGCTTATGTTATATAGCAACTTCCAGCCCTAACAAGCCAGAGCATTTTACAACATTCATTTAGTTTCACAACATCCCTACGTCCAAGTATGCTATGCATTTTGCAGATGGTAAAGCTGAACCACAGAGAGATTAAATGACTTGTCCAAGGTCACAGAGAAAGCCCAAAGACAAGTTAGGAATAGAGGTCCGACTCCCAGTGTCCTGCTCTAATCAAAAGAGGGCACAGTCTCCCTAAAACCAAGCTCTATCCCATCAGACATAGTTCATGTGTCGGCTGGATGATTCTACCAGGGCCAAGCAAGTCACATCTTCTTTGCAGAGCTCCACGTTCTCACATACCTTTGAGATAAAAGGAGAGGAAGTGATGCACCAGGAAGCTGCCATCTGTCTTGGTGTCACGCAGCAATGTGAGCTTCCCCTGGAAAACAATGAGCAGAGAACCTTAAAGAAAGGAGAGAGGTGAGGGGGGATTTGATAGCAGCCTTCAACTACCTGAAGGGGGGTTCCAAAGAGGATGGAGCTCGGCTGTTCTCAGTGGTAGCAGATGACAGAACAAGGAGCCTTGATCTCAAGTTGCCGTGGGGGAGGTCTAGGTTGGATATTAGGAAATACTATTTCACTAGGAGGGTGGTGAAGCACTGGAATGGGTTATCTAGGGAGGTGGTAGACTCTCCATCCTTACAGGTTAAGGCCTGGCTTGACAAAACCCAGGCTGGGATGATTTAGTTGTGGTTGGTCCTGTTTTGAGCAGGGGGTTTGACTAGATGACCTCCTGAGGTCTCTTCCAGCCCTAATCTTCTATGATTCTAGGTGGCAAAATTAAAATGCTGATCTCCCTCCCCCCACCACAGCTACAAAGCGGCAGAATCTATGTTGATTGAGGCACACAGCTATGAGGGGGTCTCCACTACTATTTGTGACTGGTTATAGGGAAGAGTCCTACACAGTACAGACTGGTCCTCAAGCTGCCTCTATAGATTCGTCCCTTACAATTAGCAACAAAACCCTTAGATTCAGGAAGAGACTCAGGTCCCATTTACTTCTATAAATTCTACCACATTAGGAGAGCTATGATTGGCTCCCAGCATGGATTGGTCTTGAAATATGAACAGGACCAAATGGTCGTAAGTGTGCCCAGATTGTGCTACTGCCCTGCCAAGTCCAAAGCTGTAGCCGGGTACAGAAATATTGTTCAAACACGGTGCAGCTCTGTCTGAAATTCATTTTAAGGTTTTCTTCTGGCCCAGCGCAGATGTAGCAGGCTGATTTCAGTTGGAAAACTAACAGCCTGTTCCTGCTGGCATTGGGCTCAGGATAAACACGTTTGTCACCACGGAGTTCTAGTCAGCTACCTTCATCAGTGTACACTACAAAAGCATAGTGACTGGATGCTGTGGCTATGTCTACCCTAGCCTTTTGCCCTCCAGAATTTCCTACTGTTGTTACTGCTGGTGTAGCTCTACTGTTAGTAGCAATAGCAGGCACATTAGTGTAAGTAAGAGGCAGGTGGCTGCTGAAGTTTTGACCACTGTGTGTAGTCTAACTATACTCAGAGCAGGTCTAGACAACATGACGGTAAAACACTAAATACCAGTCTGCCACTGGTGGCAGCAGTAGTGAGAAATTGGAGGCGGGGGAGGCGCGCGAATTGTAGCATAAATTGCCAATACTGGGACAAGAAGGAGTATCAACCGAGTGGGAGGAGCCATTGGACCCAGGCCACAACTCAATGCAGGGGACAACAAATGAAAACGCAGGAACAGGCATAAAGTCAAAGGTTGAAAATTAGGGCTCCAGAGGAGAACACCAAGCAGAGAACCCCAGATAGCGCCCACTGCTCCTCAAAGGTGTTAGTCAGTGGACACCGTCCAGAGGAACTCTGCCTAGATGCGTGATCGGGTAAGTAGGGCCCTTCCAATTTCACAGCATGAAAAATGCGTCAGGGACCGTGAAATACGCCCTTCCCCGTGAAACCCGACCAAACCAACCTCCGGGTGCCTCCCCCTGCTGCAGGACGCTCTCTGGGACTGGGCAGCAGCCTGAGGTTCCTGCAGCTGCAGGAGGCTTGTGGAGTTGTGTCCAATCTTCCCTGTGCTGCTGAGAGCATCCCAGCAGGGGGCTCCTAGCTGCTACTCCAGGCAGGGCTGGGGCATGACAGGACTTGCTCTTTCCCTGCAGCACTGCTCTTGGATATCTCTCCTGGCTGCAGATAGCTCTACACCTCCTTCTCCTCACTCACTTCCTATCCCTCTCCCTTTGCAGCTGCCTGGGGAGGGGACATTGTACAGGGAACTGCCCCCCCTTTCAGGGGCAATTATTAGCTTATTTCAATAATAACAGAAAGAAAGGTGAGGCACTTGACAGAATTTTTTGATTGACACTTTACAGCAGCAAATCATACTCAGGGCTCAACTCACTGATTGGTAGATATGGACATTGGGGAGGTTTTGTAGTGTTGTGATGTCAATTGCCTGCCTACCAGAAGACACATGCAATTACTATAAAATGAGTGTCCAAAGTAAATCAAAACCCTCAAAAATGATTACTGCAGAGGATTTGGCTTCCAAATTCTACACGCCGATGAGGACAAACAATTTTATACAAGCTGCAATGTTTTATTGGATCACACACATCGGAAAATGGTTCAGCGCCACAGACTTGGAAACCCATCAAAGCAGAAAGAGGGCTGCAGAGAGTGCATTGCTGGTAAACGAAAAGTTCCAAAAACAATTTCTTCTCTTTCTAAGAAGATGACAGAGAGCTCTGAGACCCTCATTTAGCTAGAATGGAACTTGTGGATGCATTTGCAAGTGCTAATATACCATTGGACAAACTTGATCACCCAAAGCTGTATGAGTTCATTCAACGGAATGTAGAAAATGCCAGTTGCTTACCAAGTGCAAATCAGCTACGACAGGACTACTTTCCAAAGGTTTTTGCTACACATTTTGAGGAGATAAAGGCTCAAATTAACTCATGTGTCTTTTGCAATCATTTTGGATGAGTCCACAGATGAACAAGACAACCATGTACTGCGTGTTCTGTTTGATTTTATGTCTGGCAAGGCTGAAGACGTACGGACAGGAAAGCTAACAATAGTGCTCACCGACTGCATTTATTTGGATGCTGTTAACTACACTACAGTTTCTCAAGTGATAATTAAAACCATTTCAAAGTACAGTGCGAACTTTGACAAAAGTATCTGCTTTCATAAGTGACAATGCAACTTACTTGACGAAATCTTTCAAATCGGTTCTCCAAGGTCTAAGGCCAAATGCTGTCTGTATACATGTAATGGACATATAATTTCTCTTGTCGGTGATCTGTGATGCCCTGATAACATAACAACTGTAGAAATGAGCTAACCCGGGGGAAGACACAGAGCAACATGCACTCAGTGTGGCTAGAATGGTTCCAGATAAATTCCCCGACTACAATGAAGGAAACAGGACTAGATCTCAGATTAAACAACTGGTTTTGTAGCCTGTCTTTCGGCACGCTGTGCAATATACCACAGGTCTGTTCCCACTAATAATAAACACTTAGGCTATGTCTACCCTGGCAGAGTTTTTTTGCTGAGAGCTTAATCGCTGATGAAAAAGCGCTTAAAGAAAACCATTGTTGTGTTTCACATTGTCTTCCACTGGAGGCATAGCGTGTTCACACTTGCAGCACTTGCATCACCAATGAGAGCAGTGCACTGTGGGTAACTATCCCACAGTGCAGCTCTCCCCCTTCTGCCTCTAGATCTTGTGGGAAGGCGGAGGGGATTGCATCGCATCATGGGTCCGGGCTTAATGCCCTATGATGCACTGCTTTCCGTCCCAGCATTCCATGTGCTTCCATCTTCAGTTTGCAGCATTTTTCAATGTCCTTTGTTTTCTACTTTCCCTGACACATCTATCTGCAGGAATGGATCCCGCACTGCTCTCCACTGTTCTGATAACTCTCACTAGCACATCATGAGTGGCAGTGGCGTTGATCTTGAAGCTACAAAGGCAACGGCAGTCACAGTTGCTTAACATGGTGTCCTGACATGGAAAGCAGCAACATTAGATTGCTTTTGGCATTCATGAAGGAGCTGAACACAGTGGAATGTCGCTTTTGGACTCGGGAAACTAGCACAAAGTGGTGGGATCCCATCATTATGCAAGTCTGGGGCGACAAGCAGTGGCTGCAGAACGTTCGGATGTGGAAAGCCACCTTGCTGGAACTGTTTGCTAAGCTTGCTCCAGCCCTGCGGTGCAAGAACACCAGAATAAGAGCTGCCCTCTCGGTGGAGAAGCACGTGGCGATCACAGCGTGGAAGCTGGCAACTCCAGACTGCTACTGTTCAGTTGTGAACCAGTTGGGAGTGCGGAAGTCGACCATTGGGACTGTGTTAATGCATGTGTGCAAGGCCATTATTTGCATCTTGCTGCAAAAGACCATGACTCTTGGCAACATGTGTGAAATTGTGGATGGCGTTCCCTAACTGCGATAGATGGTACGCATATTCCAATTCTGGCCACCGGACCACCTTGTGACCAAGTACATCAATCGGAAGGGGTACTTCTCCATGGTTTTGCAAGCACTTGTGGATCACTGTGGGCATTTCACTGACATTAACGTGGGGTGGTCTGGAAAGGTGCATGACGCACAGATCTTTAGGAATACTGGCCTGTATAGAAAGTTACAAGCAGGAACTTTCTTTCCAGACCAGAAGATCACCATAGGGAAAGTTGAAATGCTCATAGTGATCCTGGGAGACCCAGCGTACCCCTTAATGCCATGGCTCGTGAAGCCGTACACGGGAAACCTAGATAGCAGTAAGGAGCAGTTCAACAACAGGCTAAGTAGGTGCAGAATGACCCTTGAATGTGCGTTTGGCCGATTAAAGGCACACTAGCAATGCCTATATGGTAGGTTAGACCTGAATGAGGAAAATATTCCCATGGTTATAGCCACGTGTTGTATGTTGCATAATATTTGTGAAGGGAAGGGCGAATAGTTTACTCAGGGGTGGACTGCCAAGGCAGAACACCTGGCTGCTGATTTTGAGCAGCCAGACACCAGGGCTATTAGAGGGGCGCAACGTGGAGCAATAAGAATCAGGATGCCTTGAGGCAACTCTTCGAAGATGAAAACCAGTAATATTTCTTGCTATGCTTGGGACTACAATGGTTAATTACATTTGGTATGCTAGGAAGCAGTTGTGATTGTTAAGGCCTAGGATTCAATGTAAGGAACTAATAAAAGTGCCTGTTGATTTGCAGGTGCTATGAGGTATCATACCTTGCGTGGAAACAAATAAAGAGTACTTATAATTAAAAAATCTTTGCTTTTATTGCCAAATAAACCACAACAATTCAGCCTCAGGCGGACACCTGGCATGGACAATTTCAGCCTGAATGGTAGAAGTTTAGCAAAGTTATAAACAACTGAAAACAGAGTCTTATAATGGTAAGTGTCAGGCAACCTTAACTATAGGCAGCTACCAGCTCTACCTATAGTAGGACAAAATGAAGTCAACAGGAGCCCGCATGTACAAAGGGTTTGCGCACAAGAATCTGATTGCAGGATGGGGGCCTAAATCAAGACAAACCAAAGTCTCACTGGGGATTAAAGGGGTGGGGGAAGGGTGGGGAGTTAAAGTGACCTGAATGAAAGTAAGGAGAGGGTTCATTAGGGTGTATTATGGAAACCTGAAAGGTTTTTTGTCAAAAAAGGATTGCTCCACTCCCCACTTTTTAAAAAAAAACCTTATTTATTATTTGTGTTACAGGAGCACCTGGAGGTTCCAATCTAGATCAAGGCCCCATTGTGCTAGACACTATGCAAACACATAGGAAGATACTACAGTCCCCCACTACCTCAAAGAGCTTACAACGTGCGGGCCTGATCCTAAAGACTTACACATATGGGTAACATAACGGGACTACTCACTTGAATAAAGATATACATATGCATAAGTCTTTGCAGGAGTGACAGGACATACAAAGGCAAATGACATGCAAAGCATTGGGAGAAGGGGAACAGACATTATACAGATACACATTTTTGTGAGTATTATTATAACTAAATAAAGCAGAAATCAGCTATCTACATTGGTACCCCAACCTGGCCATCATTAATTGGTTGGTTTTTTAGAAGGGTCCCAGCAGAAGTGGGTCTTGAGGGATTTGGAGGAGAATAGTGGCAGAAGGCATGGAGAGGTTTGCATAAGAAGCTGATAAATGAGCAAATGAAATTGAGATGGAGATACAGTGAGACACAAGAAGAGAGGGGCAAGTTGTTAAGGGCCTTGCAAGTAAAGACAAAAAAATTAAACTTAGGGCTTGTGTATAGTAAGCAAATGTGCACAAGTATGATTACATTAATGTAGTAAGTTACTGAATGAAGCTGCAAGGATGTAGTATGTCTACATTAGGGGTTTGGACCAATATAACTACATCAAAATAGTTACACCAGTGCAAATTTTCTGACAAGCTCAGGGTCTGGTGAAAGAAAGGGAGCCACTGACATGATTTACTAGGAGTAGTGATGTCTCAGAACTAGCAAAGAAGATGATCTTGCAGCATTCTGTACTGATGGGAAGACGGCGATGTAGGGATTAGGGAGGCTGGAGGGGAAGTAGCCAAAGAAATATCAGAACCGTAATGCCTGGTCTTCCCTGCATGGCAGAAGGGGGAATCCAGAGAAGTGGAGGGGGAGATATCTCAACTCATAACCATAAGGACAGGGATGCTGGATGTTCAATTCTCCAAACTGGAGTGACACAGGGGCTAAGAGAATTGCACAGCAGAACATGATAAGAACATAGGACTGGAAGAGGCCTCCTGGGGCAATAAGTCAAGTGCCCACTATCGCAGGCAGCTCCATCATATATTCAAACAATTTGAACATAAGAACGGCCATGTTGGGTCAGAACAACGGTCCATCCAGCCTAGTATCCTGTCAGTCAGCAAGTTTAAAACAAATAAAAGGAAGTAATTGATCACTTGATCATTACCCTCTGGGGCACTTGGCATTGGCCACTGTCGGTAGACAGGATACTGGGCTGGATGGACCTTTGGTCTGACCCAGTATGACAATTCTTATTTTCTTATGTTAAGTATTTCTTCACACAACACACAGTCAACCTGTGGAACTTCTTGCCAAAGGATGTTGTGAAGGCCAAGACCATAAAAGGGTTCAAAAAAGAACTAGATAAATTCATGGAGGATAGGTCCATCAATGGCTAATAGCCAGGACAGGCAGGAATGGTGTTCCTAGACTCTGTTTGCCAGAAGCTGTGAATGAGCGACAAGGGATGGATCACTTGATGATTACCTGTTCTGTTCATTCCCTCTGGGGCACCTGGCACTGGCCACTGTCAGAAGACAGGATACTGGGCTAGATGGACCCTTGGTCTGACCCAGTAGGGCAATTCTTATGTTCTTAAGTTCTTCCAACAGTGGTCAATGCCAAATCCTTCAGAGGGAATGAACAGAACAGGTAACAGGCAAGTGATCCATCTCCTGTTACCCATTCCTGCCTTCTGGCAAACAGAGGCTAGGGACACTTCAGAACATGGTTTGGACACGGGTCACAGCCCCTCTCAGAGAACCTCATGCCACAGGCTGGGGGAACTCTGGAGAAACAGGAAAGGACACTGGGCCCCGCTTATTGCCTTTCCAAGATGCAAGATTAGACCGGACCTGCAGTCACAGGGAAACACATGGGGGATGCAGCTCCAGGGGAAGCAAAGCAGGGGGGTCATCCAGCCAGCCAGGGATCCCACAGCCCCAGGGATGAGGCAGCACAACTAAGGGGGGCATCCAGCAGCCCAAAGGGGGTGTCAGAGTCATCTGGGGCGGGGGTTCCCAAACTGTGGGCCACAACACAGTCCCAGGTGGTCTGCCATGGGCGGAGTTGGGAGAGGCATGGGGTCCCTCCAACCCTCACCCCAACTGTGTACATTGGCAGAGTAGCAGCCAGTGATGGCCCCCACCCAGGGCTGGTGGAGCCCAGCACCCGCAGTGGGCAGCAGAGGGAAAAGTGGAGCCGCCGAGTGGTGGGTGAGGAAAAGGGGCCAAACCTGACAGGCGGCAGCTCCCAGAGCAGCTGGAGGATTCGTGGCCATTCCCCACAAACCGTGGTTGGCAGGCCCCCTGTAGCATCGGTCCAGTGGCCCCCCCAGGGACCGGGGCTCAGCAGTGCCGCTCTGTTTCTGCCTGGACAAAGCCATGAGTTGGACCGTCAAGATAACGGGCAGGTCTGGCCCCAGCGCCTGCCTCTGCCTAGCTCTGGCTGCCCCGAGCCCTTACCTCGTTCCTGGGCAGCGGGTGCCTGTGAGGCGTGCTAGGGTGCTGGGTGGGCGACGGGGGCAGGGCTGCCAGGAGGCACTCGGGGGGCTGCTGAGGCAGAGGGTGTCGGCGGGGGCTGCCTGTGGCACCTGCCTGGCCCCTTCAGCCTCTCGCCGGCCCTGGTCCCAGCACGCCCCATTGCACGCTCCTAGTGGGCCACAGAGCCTATTGCAGCTGCACGGGTGGGCCTCAGGGGGGAAAGTCTGGGAACCCCTGGGACCTGCAGCCCCAAGGGGAGGCGGAGCTGGGGGTCGTCCGCCTGTCTGGCCAGGGGCCCTGGGGAAGGAGGCAGAGCCACCACCAAGCCCGCACAGGGACCCCTCGAGGCAGCTAGCGCCCCGCAGGCTCAACGCCCCCCTTTGGCCCGCGTGGGCAGAGCAGGTCTCGCGGGGACTACAGTTCCCAGCACCCAACGCTCCCCGAGCAGGCAGAGCGGCCCCACACAGACTACAGCTCCCGGCATGCAACGCTCCTTCCTGAGCCGAGGGGCAGGATGGGACTACAGCTCCCAGCAGGCGCTGCTCGTCCGTGACCGAGCGGTGCATCCTGGGAGTCGTAGGCCCGATCGGGTCCCCCACATCCTATCAGGACGGTGGCGGGCGGCAGCCAGGACCGAGCCCCTCCTCACCTGCTCGGGCCTCTCCGGGGAGGCGTTCAGCAGCTCGTTCAGCTCAACGAACATCCTGCCCCAGGCGTTCTGCTCTGCCTCTCCCTTCGCCACAGCCCGTACGGTGCCCGCCGAGGGACCGCGAGAGCCGTTCGGAAGCCGCGCGGCGGCTCGTGGCCCTGACCCTGTGGAATGTAATACGCATGCGCCTCTCTCGCGCCCCGCCCTCTCGAACTCCGAGCTGTGCTGCCCCAGACTCTGTGACCGCCTCACGTGGGGTGACAATTCCCCTCACGGCCCCCAGCGACCCCCCGTGTGGGGCGACAATTCCCCTCACGGCCCCCAGCGACCCCCCGTGTGGGGTGACAATTCCCCTCACGGCCCCCAGCAACCCCCCCCCCGTGTGGGGTGACAATTCCCCTCACGGCCCCCAGCGACCCCCCGTGTGGGGTGACAATTCCCCTCACGGCCCCCAGCGACCCCCCGTGTGGGGTGACAATTCCCCTCACGGCCCCCAGCGACCCCCCGTGTGGGGCGACAATTCCCCTCACGGCCCCCAGCGACCCCCCGTGTGGGGTGACAATTCCCCTCACGGCCCCCAGCGACCCCCCGTGTGGGGCGACAATTCCCCTCACGGCCCCCAGCGACCCCCCGTGTGGGGTGACAATTCCCCTCACGGCCCGCAGCGATCACCCCACATGTGGGTGACGATTCCCCTCACGGCCCCCCACGAGAGCCCCGCGTGTGGGGTGATAATTCTCCCGGCCCCCAGCAACCCCCCCATGTGGGTGACAATTCCCCTCACGACCCCCAGGAACCCCCCCCCGTGTGGGGTGACAATTCCCCTCACGGCCCCCAGGAACCCCCCCCCCGTGTGGGGTGACAATTCCCCTCACGGCCCCCAGCGACCCCCCATGTGTGGGTGACGATTCCCCTCATGGCCCCCAGCGACCCCCCATGTGGGGTGACAATTCCCCTCACGACCCCCAGCAAACCCCCCCCCATGTGGGGTGACAATTCCCCTCACAGCCCCCAGCGACCGCCCCACGTGTGGGTGACAATTCCCCTCACGGCCCTCCACGAGAGCCCTGCGTGTGGGGTGATAATTCTCACGGCCCCCAGCAACCCCCCCCATGTGGGTGACAATTCCCCTCACGACCCCCAGGAACCCCCCCCTGTGTGGGGTGACAATTCCCCTCATGGCCCCCAGCAACCCTCCCCCCCCGTGTGGGGTGACAATTCCCCTCACGGCCCCCAGGAACCCCCCCCTGTGTGGGGTGACAATTCCCCTCATGGCCCCCAGCAACCCTCCCCCCCGTGTGGGGTGACAATTCCCCTCACGGCCCCCAGCAACGCCCCCCCTGGTGAGGTGACAATTCCCCTCACGGCCCCCAGGAACCCCCCCTGTGTGGGGTGACAATTCCCCTCATGGCCCCCAGCAACCCTCCCCCCCGTGTGGGGTGACAATTCCCCTCACGGCCCCCAGCAACGCCCCCCCCTGGTGAGGTGACAATTCCCCTCACGGCCCCCAGCGACCCCCCCGTGTGGGGTGACAATTCCCCCTCGTGACCCCCAGCAACTACCCCCCTGTGTGGGGCGACAATTCCTGTCACAGCCCCCAGTAACTGGGTGAGGTCTCTAGCTGCATGGCAATAAGAATAACAACATGGGGTGTTCATAACTCAGCACAGAGCTGAAGAGGGCCCAACACAGGTCACTCCAAATTGAGCTTTGCAAAGTCTGGGTGTGCTAGTAAATGTTTCCATTTCTGGCTCCCATCTCCGCTCCCTTCTTCCTCCTGCCAGGACCCTTCTTCAGGACTAATCCCAGCTATCATGAGGCATCCTTGTCCCTACAGAGTCCCAGGTGCCACCCCGCTCTGGAGAGCACTATTGTACCTGGTTTCAGAGTAGCAGCTGTGTTAGTCTGTATTCGCAAAAAGAAAAGGAGTACTTGTGGCATCTTAGAGACTAACCAATTTATTTGAGCATGAGCTTTCATGAGCTACAGCTCACTTCATCGGATGCATACTGTGGAAAATACAGAAGATGTTCTTATACATACAAACCATGAAAAAATGGGTATTTACCACTACAAAAGGTTTCTCTCTCCCCACCCCACTCTCCTGCTGGTAATAGCTTATCTAAAGTGATCACTCTCCTTACAAGCTTATGCTCAAATAAATTGGTTAGTCTCTAAGGTGCCACAAGTACTCCTTTTCTTTTTGCGAATACAGACTAACACGGCTGTTACTCTGAAACCTCTCCTAACAATGTGTATGATAATCAAGGTGGGCCATTTCCAGCACAAATCCAGGTTTTCTCCCCCCCACCCCTTATTTCCCACACACACAAACCCACTCTCCTGTTGGTAATAACTTATCTAAAGTGATCACTCTCCTTACAATGTGTATGATGATCAAGGTGGGCCATTTCCAGCACAAATCCAGGTTTTCTTCTCCCCCGCCCTTATTTTCCACACACACAAACCCACTCTCCTGTTGGTAATAGCTTATCTAAAGTTATCCCTCTCCTTACAATATGTATGATAATCAAGGTGGGCCATTTCCAGCACAAATCCAGGGTTTAACAAGAAGATCTGAGGAACCGAGGGGGGCGGGGGGGAATAAGAAAAAACAAGGGGAAATAGGTTACCTTGCATAATGACTTAGCCACTCCCAGTCTCTATTCAAGCCTAAATTAATTGTATCCAATTTGCAAATGAATTCCAATTCAACAGTCTCTCACTGGAGTCTGGTTTTGAAGTTTTTCTGTTGTAATATCGCAACTTTCATGTCTGTAATCGCATGACCGGAGAGATTGAAGTGTTCTCCGACTGGTTTATGAATGTTATACTTCTTGACATCTGATTTGTGTCCATTTATTCTTTTGCGTAGAGACTGTCCAGTTTGACCAATGTCCATGGCAGAGGGGCATTGCTGGCACATGATGGCATATATCACATTGGTAGATGTGCAGGTGAATGAGCCTCTGATAGTGTGGCTGATGTTATTAGGCCCTGTGATGGTGTCCCCTGAATAGATATGTGGGCACAGTTGGCAACGGGCTTTGTTGCAAGGATAGGTTCCTGGGTTAGTGGTTCTGTTGTGTGGTATGTGGTTGCTGGTGAGTATTTGCTTCAGGTTGGGGGGCTGTCTGTAGGCAAGGACAGGCCTGTCTCCCAAGATTTGTGAGAGTGTTGGGTCATCCTTCAGGATAGGTTGTAGATCCTTAATAATGCATTGGACCTATTGTACCTATTGCCTTTCTTAATAGATTCCCTCCTCACATTTTGGGGTTTGTCACTGTGCTAAACCAATGAAAATACAACTATTAAAACGGTTGCCCCAAGCCCTCCTTCCACTTCCAGCTTATTTGTTATACTTACAACCCATCAAACCTTATAAGTATCAAAAGTGGAGACATACGGAATCCATAGGGTCATGATGCGGCATATAATCAAGTTGCTATCTTGAAAACAAAGCAATGAATAAATGCAATGCATGACAGTACTAAGCAGTTTGATCTCATGGCTTTCAGTATAATTCCCAAGAGTGTGGCAGGGAATCTGAACTAAAAGCGTGTGTTTCCTTCAAGTCTTGTACATGTAGGAGGGCTAAGCAGACATATGTAGATTACCTAGATTACCTCCCTGGATTTCCCAGCTCAGGGAATTGAGATGCCTGACTGACATATTCCAGTCTCCTAGGATATTAACAAATCAAAAATATGTCATTGCAAACAGAGCAGACCCCTTCACATCCCAAATACAGGGGTTTTCTCGTACTAGATAACTCAAAAAGAACAGGAGTACTTGTGGCACCTTAGAGACTAACAAATTTATTAGAGCATAAGCTTTCATGGGCTACAGCCCACTTCATCGGCTGCATAGAATGGAACATATAGTAAGATATATATATATACATACAGATAATTTGGAAGTTACTGTACAAATTGTGAGAGGCTAATTAGTTAAGATGAGCTATTATCAGCAGGAAAAAAAAACTTTTGTAGTGATAATCAAGATGGCCCATTTAGATAGTTGACAAGAAGGTGTGAGGATACTTAACTTAAGGAAATAGATTCAATATGTGTAAAAAGAAAAGGAGTACTTGTGGCACCTTAGAGACTAACCAATTTATTTGAGCATGAGCTTTCGTGAGCTACAGCTCACTTCATCAGATGTTTACCGTGGAAACTGCAGCAGACTTTATATACACACAGAGAATATGAAACAATACCTCCTCCCACCCCACTGTCCTGCTGGTAATAGCTTATCTAAAGTGATCAACAGGTGGGCCATTTTAGATAAGCTATTACCAGCAGGACAGTGGGGTGGGAGGAGGTATTGTTTCATATTCTCTGTGTGTATATAAAGTCTGCTGCAGTTTCCACGGTAAACATCTGATGAAGTGAGCTGTAGCTCACGAAAGCTCATGCTCAAATAAATTGGTTAGTCTCTAAGGTGCCACAAGTACTCCTTTTCTTTTTGCGAATACAGACTAACACGGCTGTTCCTCTGAAACCTGTCAATATGTGTAATGACCCAGTCACTCCCAGTCTCTATTCAAACCCAAGTTAATGGTATCTAGTTTGCAAATTAATTCAAGCTCAGCAGTTTCTCATTGGAGTCTGTTTTTGAAGCTTTTCTGTTGCAAAATTGCCATGCTTAAATCTTTTACTGACTGGCCAGAGAGGTTGAACTGTTCTCCTACCGGTTTTTGAATGTTATGATTCCTGATGTCAGATTTGTGTCCATTTATTCTTTGGCATAGAGACTGTCCGGTTTGGCCAATGTACATGGCAGAGGGGCATTGCTGGCACGTGATGGCATATATCACATTGGTAGATGTGCAGGTGAACGAGCCCCTGATGGCGTGGCTAATGTGATTAGGTCCTATGATGGTGTCACTTGAATAAATATGTGGACAGAGTTGGCACTGGGTTTTGTTGC